TATGCCATTTGTTTAGTATTGATATGTCATTGTCTATGGTGCCTTTCAGCAAAATGTAGTTTCCTTGTTTATCTCTTTTAATTTAGTCTTTTTGGAGTTGCTTTGTCTGAGATATTGATTGTAACCTCTACCTTTTTTACTTCAGTGCAAGCATAATAGATTTTGCTTCAGCCCCTTACTTCAACTCTGTGTGCATCTTTCTGAAGTGTGTTCTTTATCAGCAGTGTGTTGTTGGACTCAGCCGTCCAATCCATGTTGCTCTCCTCTCCGCTTTATGGGTGAGATCCTCCCATTCAGAGTCACAGTTATGATTATTAATTATTTATTTCCCTCTATCCTATTCTTTTATGTTTTTCCTTCTGTTTTTTCCTGCCCCCTCTTTGTTTGTTTTGCGAAAAACTAATCTCTCCTTAATCTACCCTTCTTCTTATTCTGCTTTCTTCTTTTCCTCCTGTTTACCTGTTGAGTGAACTGTATTTCTGTGCCCAGTTATGTGTGTATTTTTCTTTCCTTGGACCAGTTCAGATGAAAGTGAGGTTCAAGTATCACCCATTCCCCCTACTTCTTCTTCCTTGTTTGTTCTAAGCTTGTATTTGTGTGCCCCAATTAAGTGAGATGATTTTCCCCATTCTTCTTCTCCCATCTTCCTCCCCGTGTTCCTCTGCCCACTTACCCAGTGGGACAGAACCATTCCCAGGCCCTTTGCCCCAATGAGACTCCTTCTGTGACTTCTTATAGAGTTCTGAAATGATACGTGTCAGGGGATACGAGTTAGAATATAAACCATTTATCCCTCTTTAGTTCCTAATGATTGCCCACTCATCTTTACCTTTTTTTTGTTTCTCTTGACTCCTGTGTTTGTATTCCACAGTATCTATTTGTCTCTGACAGTTTCAGGGACACTTGGAAGTCCTCGGTTTCATTAATGGTCCATTTTTCCCCGTAGGTTTGTACTCAGTTTTTCTCGGTAAGTTATTCTTGATTGAAAGCCTGGGTCTTTTGCCTTCTGGGATATCGCATTCCAAGCTCTCCATTGCTTTATGGCACTGGCTGCTAAATTGTGTGTGGTCCGGGCTCCTTGATACCTGAATTCTTTCTTTCTGGCTGCTTCTGGTTCTCTTTTCTTTGACCTGGAACCTCTGAATCTTGGCTCTAAGGTTCCTGGGAGTTTTCATCCGGGGGCTTGTTTCAGACGGTTTTCTATTTCTACTTTGTCCTTTGGTCCTCAGAGATCTGGGCAGCCTTCTTTTAAGATTTCTTGTAATATGGTGTCAGGGCTCCTTTTTCCGTCATGATGTTCAGGTATCCACTGATTCTTAAAGGCTGTTGAATTTTCTCCTCCTCCTCTTCCTCTTTCTCTTCTGACTTGAGCTTTGTTTTTGTTTTGTTGAGTTTTGGTTTTTTTTGAAGCAATCAGATTGAGTGACTTGCACAGGGTCACAAAGCTAGGAAGTGTCAGATTTGAACTCAGGTCCTCCCGACTCCGGGCTGGTGTTCTGTCCACTCTGCCACCTAGCTGCCCCTCTTTTGACTTAGTTTTAACTTTTCTTGTTGTCTTATTGAGCTTTTGTTTAGATTTTCAGGGAGTTGTTTTCTTCAGTAAGTTTTTTTAACTCTTGTTAAAAGCTATTAATTCTCTTTCCAAATCTTTCTTCCATAGTGCTTGTTTCTTTCTGTTTTGTTTCTCTAGCCCACTCATTTATTTTTTAAAAATCTTTTTTTTCTTTTTCTAACTTTTGCTCCATCTTTCCAGGAATTCTCATTAGACTTGTGCCCAAGGTGTGTTTTTCTTCAAGGCTTTGCTTGTAGATCTTTTAGAGCCCTCTTCTTCTGGGTGTGTGTCTTCAGCTTCCTCCTCCTCATCATGGCTCTTTATAGTGGGTTTCTTTTTTGTTTGCTCATTCTTCTAGCCTTCCCCTTGGCTTTGGACTTTATGTAGGGGCTGGGCTCAGCCGGGGAGTCCTTTTGGGTCCTTCTGTTGTTTTCTTAAGGTTTTGAGTGTTGTGTAGTTTCAGGATCGCAGACAGTCCGGGCTGGGTACCTGTGAGCTTTCGGTGTTCCCACAGTGGTCCAGTCCGGGGCAAAGTCTGCTTGCTGCCCCAGTGCCTGACCTGGGCCTGGCTGCCGCCGGACCCTGCCTCTATTGGCCAGAGCAGCAGAACTCTAGGCTCCCCTTACTCTGGGCTGCCCGCCTGGCCTGTTCCCCTGCAGGCTTCAGACAGGGTTGGGCACCAGAGATAGACCCGTGCTGTGTGTACAGCCCGGGTCCGAGCTGGCTTGCCAGCTGGGAATGCCACTGTCAGCCTCAGGTCCCCTCCATAGTCTGCCCAGAGCTGAAGCCCCCCTTGTGACCCCCCAGAATTGAGTAAAAGAAGCTGGGACGAGAGTGTGTGTGAAGGTGTGGGCCAGCTCCCCCTTCTCCAGCACCGTTGTTCAGTCTCTATCCCCTTCCTCCTCACTTTAGAGGTGAGAAAACTGAGAGTCGGGGAATGACTTCCCAAGTCCCCCCAGAGAGTGAGGAGCAGAGTCAGGATTTGAACCCAGTACCCCTGACTCTCCATCCAGTGCCCTGTGCTTCCTCTCTCATTAGTGCAAGTGCATTCAGAGATGGGCATTTTGTGGGAGGGGAGGCTCTCTCCCTCACTGTGGGAGGCGGAGGCTGGATGCACCTCCTGGACAGTCCTGCTCTAACTTGGGCTTGGCTCTGGGCCAGCACAGAGCCCCAGGGTTTCCTGGCCCCTCCCCCGGTAGAGCAGGGCCTGCTCTTCCCTTTTTCTGTGTCAGCCAGTCCCCCGGGGCAGTCTAGTGAAAGGCCTTCTCAGAATCATGTTTTTAAATGTACAAAAGAAGGCCCATAGAAGTAGAGAGGAAACCAGTGATCTTGAAATATAATTCAGACTCCCCCTCTTGCTTAGCTGTCCCACTTCCAGCCCCGCCCAGAGCCCAGCTCCCTCCCCAAATTCTTCAAATTCTTCTGACCCCAGATACCCAGATGAGGTCATGGGTGTGCCTGGTTTTGTGGGAGGCTCCCTGCAGCTCTGGGAGTGCCCCTAGCTCGCAAAGGATGGGCGCGGCCAGCACAATGGCCTCCCTGCCTCCCCACATCAAGGAAGGAGTCATCTCCTTCCGGGGCCTGGGGTGCTCCTCACGGGTCCGCTGGCAGTGATGCGTGGCTGCATCCAGGGTGGCAGCGTTCCTATCCTCCCTTCTGATCTAAGGGACCCTTGATGTCACTTGGTCCAACATCCTTCTTTTAGAGAAGAGAAAACTGAGACCCACATCACACAGGCGATTTGAACTCGGATCCCGAGACTCTGGGTTGAGGTCCTCTCTACCTGAAAAAGTGCCCCTGTCCTCGGAGAAGCCGTGACCCTGGGAATCAGGCCAAGCTCTGGAGGGGAGAGAGTCCCCCTCTGGCTTACCATGCAGCCCTCCCCTGATTTGTGATGGACAGAGCCCGAGGTGACTGCCAGTTAAGATTGAGAATGGAAACATTGGGTGGGCATGATGGGGAGAACCAGGAGGAAAGTGACCTTTGTGTAGAAAGGTCACCTTGTCCCCTGAGTTCCTTCCTATGGACTGGCCAGCCCCAGCTGTGGAGGAGGACAGCAGGGCAGGCTTCTTTGGACCCTCAGGCCGGAGGTCAGAGAGCATCCCAGACCCTCTGGGACATCTCAGCTTTCAGACTGGCCCTTTCATTTTTTCTAAGCCCCTGGGGAAAAATCCTGTGATTCTCCCAAGGGCTCCAAACAGGATGGGCTCGATCCTAAGCTGAGGGGAGCTGAGGCCCCTCAAGGACATCTGCAAGGCTCTTTAGGGGAGCCCATGGGCTTGGCTCCTGTGGGTGCTATCCTCATGAGTCAGCATGACCATTGCTCCCCCTCATTTATCCGTGCCTTTGGCCGACCCATTACTAGGCCCTCGCTGTGTCCCTCCCAGGCCTTAGCCGTTCTGTTCTGTCTGGCCCGGGGATCTGTGAGGCCTTTAACATAACCCCAGAGGGTCTTCTGAAGGCCAAGGGCAGTTCCTGGGCAAAACTGCCTTCTAGACTCCCTGCATCTCTGGCCACAGTGACTGTGCTGAGATGAATTTAGTGTTAGGGTTGGGCCTGTGGACAGAACACACTCTTGTACTGGCCCCCATTACCCCAGGGCAGCGCCTGTGTGGGAGGTGGGCTCAGCACCTGCAGGAGCAGAAGGAGGATCTGCTATCCCCTCCCCAGCAGGGCTGGAGGCCGGCACAAGAGGCCTTCCTCTTCTGAAGGGTCCCGGCCCCGGCGGTTTCTGTGTGGAGCTGGGACATCGGTAGATGGTGCCTCTCAGCAGGAGCTGGAAAGTCAAAGCTGAACTCGGAGGGGCTTGGAACAGAGCAGGGCCCAGGCCTGGGTTGTCCCTGCTGACCAGCTAGGAGGTCATCCTCCCCCTTTTTACAAGTGGGGAAACCAAGGCCCCAAAGGGTGACGTGCTGTGATCATAATAATAGCAGCAATGAGCTACATCCTGCCGTTTGAGCCTCAAGACAACGCTGTGAGGCAAGCCCTAGACACGGTCTTATCCCCATTTTCCAGAGGAGGAAGCCAAGGCTCATGGGAGGTGGAAGGACTTGGCCAGATTCACACAGCTAGGATGTGCCTGAGTCCTCTGGACTGCCGCCGCTGCAGTTTCCCCAAGAAGGGTCTCCTGGAGTTAGCGGTCAAGCAGAAAGTGGAACCTCCCAAGATCCTTTCTTCCTTCCATAATAAGTTAAAACCCCATTTTATAGAAGAAGAAACTGAGGCCCACACAGAAATGGCTGCTCACCCAGTCGCACAGCTAGTCCTTTGCAGCCAGGTTCTCTGACCCCGGAGCCAGCTGTCCTTCCTGGTCCGTGCCGCGGGTCAGGGTGGCGGCTGATGTGTGTCTTGGTGGATGGAGCGCCGTCAGCGCCACTGCCTGACCCTGGGTGGAGGGGAGGCCTTCACCGTCCCAGGCGATCTCAAAGGGACATCCTTTTCTTTGCAGATTCTGAGGGAGCTGAAGGCCCTGGTCTGGATTTTCCTGGTACAGAACGTCCCTGAAGTGGCTTACCTCTTCTATCTCCTCTACACGGTGAGGGGGCTGCGGGCAGGGGGAGGAGCCCCCTCCAGACCAAAGTCGTCCAGGTGTCCTTGGAGGGCAGCCTGGCGCCTGAAGTGCTCCGTGGCGCTGTCTTCTCATGGCCCCGCTTGGGGGCCTTTCTGCGGCCAAGTCGGCCAGGGCCCCCGAGCTGCGAGGAGCCGGGGGATCTTTGCCTCACTGTCCCTCGGGCCAGGGCCGGGTCAGACCGACATGGCTTCCACCAGCTTAGCTTGGCCATCTCAGGGGAGCCGCCAGCAGACAAGGGGACCCCCCTACCCTAGGAGGGACTGAGTTGCGGCCTTGCTCTCTCCTCTGTCTCCATTAGCCAGACTGGAGAAGAGCCATCGTCTCGGCTGGAGCTGGCCGTGGCCGAGAGACGTGTCCTCCCTGTTGCAGGGTCTCAATGACCCTTTGCGGACCTGGGACTCTCCAGGAGAGGGCGAGGGTGAAGGGCATGTACCCTGGCAGGGGAGAATGGTGCCAGGTGCCAGGGACGCTGCCTCGGGGAGCCCCCACGGGTCCTCGGGGTGTCCCGGTAAACACACCCGATGTCTGCCGGTGCCCTGGTCCCCTTGAACGGGATCTCCAGCCCCTCCTGCCGGTTTTGGTCATCACTAGACAGGAAGCCATCGATCCACACGGGTGGATCTTGTGTGGTGTGATTAATTCCTGGAAGTTCTGAATTGCTTCCGTGGATTTTCAGCGGACTCGTGAGGGTTTTCCAGGTAGACCATGATATCCCTGACTCACCTCAGCGGTTTTGCTTTTCCCTGGCCTCACTTCATGGTCCCTCAGTCTTTCAGCGTTTCAAGGACTGTGGTCACCATTAAATAGTATGGAGCAAGCCAGCGCTTGCTCCTTCACACAGGGCTGGTCACAGAGCAGGTGCGTAACAGACACGGCCGGCGGTGGGCGACCTTGCTTTGCTCCTGCTCTTAGTGGAAAGGCTTCTCGCTTTTCTTCATTACACGTGATATTTGCTTGTTGGTATTAGAGACGTGTACTGTGTTAAGGAAAAGTCCGTTTATTCCTATGCTTTCTGGTTGTTTTTTCAGACAGAAATAGGAATTGGATTTTATCAAAAGCCTTTTCAGCATCTATGGATATCTTTTGGGTTTATTGTTTTTGTGATTAACGTGGCTGATGACGGTTTTAGTTTTCCTGGTGATGAACCAGCCAGCAGGGGCAAGGCTGGGGGCAGAAGATGTAGCGGGGGCCTGGGGCTTCAATCTCCCTAGCTTTGCGTGTTCCACTTTTCAGTTCCGGCCTGACAGGGGCTGCCCCAGGCAGGAAGGAGATGCTTGGGCAGCTCTGTCTCCTGCCCTGCGTTCGCCCTTCTCCAAGCATCTAGCTTGGCTTAGGTAGCGGGGGCGGAGGGCGGCCAGGTGCAGGTTGAGAAGAGGGGAGTTCCAGGTCCCTGAGAGGGCAGCAAGCTTCCTCTTCAGGGAGTGTGCAAATCAAGGTCAGGATGTATTGATTCATTAAGGAGAGAGAGAGGGAGAGAGCCAGGAAGGAACAGGCCAGCGGCTCAGCTGAGACCCCACCTACTTCCTGGGAGCAAAGGCCTGACGGAAAGGCTGCTCACAGCCACCGGTGGACCGGCCCTGAGGCTGGCCGAGCGCCAGTCCAACCTCACGCTCCAGTAACCTTCGGCCTGCGTGCGGGTCTTGTTTCTTCCGTTGGGAGAGGCAGCAGCTGGAGCCAGAGCTTTGGCCTGGGTGACCGTCGGGGCTGACCCCATCAGCTCTGGCTGCAGCACTGCTGCAGTCATTTCTCTGTCTCGGTGAGAAATGGATTCAGTTCACTTGAACATTAAGAGCCCGCTCTGCTCGAGGCCCTAGGGTGGGACGATGTGGGCACGGCCACAGGGCAGAGGGGCATCGGGGGAAGGATGGCAAAGGAGAGTCAGACCGAGGACTCTGGGAACATTGGGAAGGGAAGGAAGCTTCCGTGTGGGACTGGGGCCTTGGAGTGAACAACAGAGCTGGCGAGAATCCACGGCCCAGACCACGCCGAGTCTGGCGTGGCTACAGAGCGTGGTGCCACAGAGAGGGGGCTGCAGATCGGTCGCTGGAGCCTCCTCAGAGAATTAGCTGTGAGTGATTATAGCCAGCACTGATATAGCAACCGTTAGGCTTGCAGAGTGCGTTCCATTGGGGGTGTCATCTGAGCCTTACAAACCCCGGATGGCCGGCGCTATTATTATTCCCATTTCACTTTTGAGGAAACTGAGGATGAGCCAGGCTAACTGACTTGCCCAAGGTCACAGGGCTAACGTGTGCCTGCAGCAGGATTTGATCGTGGGTCTTCCTGACACCCCTCTAGTGCTGTGTACTCTATTGCCTTGCTGCCTCTAGACACAGAGGGAGAAAAGTGTGAGGCAGGTGGGTCATTCCTAAGAAAGGTTGATTGGAGGTCAGGGTGGAGTAGCGGGGGAGAGCCCGCCCCGGGGCCTGGTAGGCCTGTGTTCCAGGCCTGTCTCTGACACCTCCCGGCTCCGGCCCCAGGTAGATCCCCAGGAGCACAAGTCACTGGAGGGGCTGCCCCATGGGCCACAGGCCCCTTCCCTCTCCTGTCCCCGCTAGTCCCACCCTCCCATTTTACAGATGAGGAGACTGAGTCTCAGAGAAGTGGGTGCTTGTTCAAGGTCACACAGGGAGTGAGCTGGTCTGAGTTCTCAGTAATAAAATATTGACCAAAAGAAGAGAGACCAGCCCATTTAGAGAGGATTTCTAGAGGTTACTGAGGAAAGAGAGAGCGAGCTTTTCCTCTTCAGAAGCTCCTTGAAGGAAGGGGCTGGTTCGTTTTGTGTCTTGGCGTGTCTTAAAACACATTGGTTGGATTATTGAATGGTGTGGCCGGGGCTGGAGGTCAGAAGGGGACGTGCGGGTGTTGGGGGGAAACATCTGGCCCTCAGTAAGAAGGGAAGAGCTGAGTCCTGAGTACAACCCAGCCACATGTGTGCGTGTGTGTGTGTGTGCATGTGTGTGTGCACGTGTGTGTGTATGTGTGTGCGTGCATGTGGGTGCTCACACATGCCCAGCCTCGTTCCCTGGCCCGACCCCAGCATTTCCTGAAGCCCACCTGGGGTTTCCTGGGAAGCAGATGTGGCCATCCTAAAGCCAGGTCATGCTGGTCCAAGGGCAGTCCCCTCCCTCCCTGGCCGCCCCTGCTGCGGTAGGCTCTGGGGGCCGGACCAGAGCTGGGGAGTGGCGCGTGGCATGGCTGTGATGGGGGATCTGTCGGTTGGGGTTGGTGGGGCGTCAAGGCAGGCCTGGGATGGGCACGGCTACTCCCGAGGAAGCAAGGGGAGGGGGCCCCAACCCGAGGTGCTAAGCGAGATGTGCTTGTCTTTTCAGATAAGCAGAGCGTGGGGCCAGGGCAGCTCCTACACCGGAGAGGCGGCGGCCATCGTGGGCTCCTGCATCTCTGTAGCCATCAAGTCTGTCTTGCTTTGGGCCCTGGTCCACGTGTATCGAAGCTTTGGTCAGGGCCTGAGAGAGAGAAGTGAGTGGACCCTTGCTGCCCCCAAACCCTTGCCCTGTCATTGGGCCTTAGAGGACCCCCCACCCATTCTACAGATGCCCAGGGTCCCATCGAAGTTAATGGCCAAGCTGGGATTCAAGCCCAGGTCCTTTGATTTCAAACCCAATAGGAGGCCACAGAGGGTCAGCCCAGGGGCATAAGCCCAGACCCTTCCTCATACTTGAGGCCTGGGCAGCTGTGCCCACTCTGTGCCCGTGCCGGGCAGCCAAAGGTGGAAGCTCACTCCGCTCTAACTCAGGAGGAGTGCCCCTCTTGCTGCTCTCCCGTGGGCATCGTCTGGTTTGATCTGGACCTTGGGCTGACCCGGGCCTCTTCTGCTGCAGCCCAGAAAACCTTTTTTTCCCTGGTTCTGTCTCCTCCTCTCCCCTCACCCCAGCCCAAGGAGCAGAGTGTGGAGGGGTCGGGTGGGTGGTGCCTAGTCAAGGGCAGGAGATAAGGCTGGAGCCAGTCAGGTAGAACCTCCCTGTCCCCTCCTCCTCTGTCTGGCCTGCTCTCCTATCTCTGTCTCTTCCTCCTGGCAGCCATCCCCTTCTCTCTGCTACCTCCGGTAAATTCTAAAATGCCCTGGAGCCTTTCAGGAGAAAGTTTTCTGCTTCCTGCTTGCAGTTCAGTAAGCAGAGAATCTCAGGACCATCCCACCATTCCCACCCCCTAGACTTTATAGATAGTGTGGAATCGAGGCCAGAGAAGGATTCTGGAGTTAGAAAGTCCCTGAGAGGCCACTGAATTCAGCCCCCAGAGGGGGAGTCACCTGTCTGTTCAGTGGTACAGCACAGCCTTGAACCCAGGGCCTTGTACACTTTCCCAGGACGCACAGCAGGAATGTTCTGAAGCCAGCTTCTCCGACAGCCAGCCCAGGACTTTGTCCACTATACCACACTGCCTCTGTGAATGGGCTCCCAGTGTATTTTTGTGGGGGTCAGTTCCCCCAACCAATGCATCTGCATTCTGGTCCCAGATCCTAACCTGACCCACTGTTCTAGGTCCCCGCTTTGGAATTGTCTGCAGCAATATCTCCTGAACTCCAGCTGTTCTCTGGGGCTGGGGTCCCCACTCTGGCCCGCCCCTGCCCCCCCAGTACAGCCTCACATTTATCCCTCCAGTGAATGGGTCCCATTAGCCATGAAAGGCTCCCCCTCCCCCTTGGTCTTGGTGGCAGGACGGCCCTGTAGACTAGACCAGGGATTCCGGGGCCAGATCTGTAGTTGAGGAGGCCTGGGTGGGGTGTGAGTGGTTCTGCACTCAGCCCTCTCAATGTCCATTGTGTGCTTGGCTTGTCACTTGGCTGGGCCCCAGAAGGGGGCTGAAGAGAACAGACAGACACTGACGGGAGGGCTCCATCTGCATGTTTGCTGGGCCCAGGGCAGGGAGGGAGCCGGCTGGTGGCTGGCCGGTCTGCGCTGTCCCCCACCGACACCTCTGTTCTCTCTCTTGCCAGTGTTTTCTTCCTATGGAAGGATTGAGTCCTGAGCAGCCCCGCAGGGCCTGGGAGCTCCCCCAAGGCCTCCCCAAGGTCTAGAATCAGGACATGGCAGATGCCCTCCCCTCCCGCTTCTGCTGCTCATTCTCAGCAGCCCTCCTCGGATGATCACTCATCAGCGCGGACCCCAGCCCCCCATCCTCCCTGCATGTGGCAGTGACGTCCATTGTGCCAAAACCCCATCCAGAAATGCCTTGGAGGAGCCTGGGTGCAGGCTTTGCCCCAGCCCCGGCAGGCTGAGGCTGTGACCCTCCCTCCCCCACAGGGCCAGGGCCAGTGAGCATCTCCAGCAGCTGCCCAGGTTCCGGGAGCCCTGGCCTCCACCGCGCCGGAGGTGGTGCCGGGCCTCAGCTTAGCTCCTCCCGGCCCGGGGCCCTGGCTGGGGTGGGGGGGTTCCCAGCTTCCCTCCTGCATGACCTGCGGGCCCAGGGCTTCTGGAGAGCTGCCACCAAGGAAAGCAGAAAGGCTTGGGGGTGCCGGGGCGCCCACGGGCCCCTAGGAAAGGCAGTCACAGATTCCCCACCCTCTTTCATACTTGTTGCCTCAATTTCAAGAAATCTTTCATACTAAAAAAACAGAGTTTATTATTTTAACAAATGGAGCTTTGGTTACTGGCTTTGTATTTTTCAATAAAGTATGCAGAACACACAGGTGTGGTGTTGGGGGCTCTTTAGAGGGGGTGGGGAAGGGGGTGGGAGGAGCCTCGGTGCACACAGTGGGTCAGGGCCATGAACCCCATTTGGATATTCTGTCAGCTGCCCCATGGACAGGCCAGTGTCACCCATCTGGGCCCTTCCCCCGCCTAAGAGGAACATTTTGTTTCTACTTTCTTATCCCAGAGATTGCGAGAGGAGCCCAGAGCTCCTCCTCCTCCTCAGGGCTAAACTACCTGTGTTGAGATCTCCTTGGATTTTCCTGGTGTGGGATTCTTGATATCTGTTAGCCCTGGTTATCTGCCTGGCAATGGTGTCTAGCTCGGCAGCCTGGGCATCGACCTTCCTCCCCTTCAGCCTCCCCTCCAGGGTCAAGCTGAGGCCTTGGCAGGCTTCCACTGTCCTGGGTCAGTCTTTCCACGGCCTTTTCTGGGCACACTGTCAATCGTTTTAAGTTTTCTGAGTAGAAAATGACAGGGCCAAGGCCAGCTGGATGAGGTTGGCTGATTTATGTCACCCACAGGGTGCTGGAGACGTGAGTTCTTGGAGAAAGCATAAGAAGTGAAGGAGAGCGGGTGTGTGGGGCTGGCCCTCAGAATGGGCTCTCCTGTCCCTTGGTGCTGGGGGGAGGTCCCTTCCATTTTCCCAGGCAGGAAGGAGCCTTTCCACTGGTGGCCTCTATCCGCAATGCTCAGCTCAGGGCCTGGCGTGTAGTAGGGCTAAACAAAGCAGTCTTGTCCTGTTCAACCCTATACAATCCAGCGTTCCTGGATGTCTAGCAGTTCGAGGGAGAACACAGCCACAAATGAGGCAGAACAGATCAATTTGGACCTTACTAGCCAACTTGCTTCCACTGGGCTGCAATTCCAAAAGTGATTTAGAAACCTTAAGATATCCATGTTACTTCTTTTCCCCAAAGAAGCGAGTCAAGACTGACGGATCTCTGCGACTCCTGCAGCAGAGCTGGGGCTCACCCTGCAAGTGGCCCTGGAGGCAGGAACCTCACTCATTCTCACCCTACTGCCTGCCCGCCCTCTTGGTGGTATCAGGACTCAAGCCACGTGAGGCCTGGGGCTGGTGTCCAGCTGCCCTAACGTCTCATGCCCTCCCAGGGTCAATGACTCCGCAGTGGCGTCCCTGCTCAGAATGTTAGCGGCTCTGAAGGGCTCATCTTTCTGGGTTCCATTCCCAGAGTACAAGGGTTGTTATCCTCCCCTAGGACTATGCCTTTTTTAAAAGGTCTACTTTAAAAGACACCCACAAAGGGAACTCTCCCGGCTTTCTTCTGCATCCTCCTAAGCAGGCGTGATCCCCGAAGCACCCTCGAGCCTTGGTTTTCTGCTCTCATCCCCAGTGCCCGAGAGCTGACTCCTGGCCCTGCCAGGCCGGTGCAGTCAGTGCCCAAGGCCACGGTGCCATGGGCGTTCCTTCACAGAGACACTGCTGGGCGCCCGGGGAGTTAGCACTTAGGAACAACTGATGAACCACCCATTTTGTTTCATAAGAAAAGAGTTTATTGAAAGGATGTGAAAATAGTAATATATGCTTTCAACAATAATAAATTTCCAAAGTATTAACAGTATGAAACATTAGGAATCTTCTTGAGAGACTCAAAGCACACTAAAATCATACTGTGTCCTGTTGCTTTTGGAGTTGGTCAGCACTTGAAAAGCTTAGTCTAAGTTATCTCACGGGAAGGACAAGTCAATCAGGGATGTCGAGGACATCTTGTGACCCATCGCAACCCCACACACGTGTACCGCCCGCCAGGGAGACTCTCAAAGCACCAATGCCAGGCCGCCTTTCCTACCTCCAGTCGGGGCGGACAACACGGTAAATATTTGGCTTTCTGCAAAGGGAAGTTTCACCACTTTGTTTCAAGCTGTTTTGTTTCTAAGAAGACTGCACTGCCAATCAGCCCCCTTCACAGAGTCTTCTCACAAGCTGAGAAGAGCCAGGGCAGCTCGTGAGGAAGAGAACTTTGAAGGAAGCCTTGCATATGCATGCACTGGATCATATCAAGTCCTTGGGTTCAAAAGATGAAAATACATATATACATCTCGGCACAGATAACGCATCGCGCTCTCAAAGGTCACACCAGAGCACAAACCTGAAGGTCCGGGAAGGACCAGTCTCTGGGTGTTTTCCCACGGGGTGTGCCTGACCCAACTCTTTAATCAGCCTTCCTGGCTGGATCATCCATACATATCAAAGTAAATGGCTTTTGCTGATTCCTGTTCTTACTGACCGCATTTCAATGGAAAAAAATACAAAGAAAATAATCAGAAAGGAAACAGTCATCTCATAAATTAATTCCTCCTGGAAACGCGAAGCATGGAGAGAGAAGCTACATTGTACTTACATGGGAAAAATGAGGCGAAAAAGGCATCCTAGCACATTCAGACCCAAGGCTGATGGATCTTGCTTACTCAAACTATAATGCACTGCAAACAACTCACAAAAGCTGTACAAACAGATGGTTAATTGACATCCACAGACATAGTTTCCAAGTCGATTCTACATGGTTTCGTTTGAGAGCTTGGTTTTTGCAAAGCTCTCCCATCTTGATTGACAAAGTAGACACCAGGATGAGGGGGCAGGCAACACAAGGACAGGCCCAGGGCAGGCCAGGTCGGGAGAATCTTGTTCGGCCCCTCCCCCATCCCGCCTCGGTGACAGGAACCATTCCAATCGAATTCATTTCATTGGTGACGTGCAACAGTGACCTGATCCCAGAGCCCAGACGAGCTGCCACCGTGGGGAGTGCTGCGGTGACCCGATGCCTCTCCCCGCTGCCTGCTGTCAGCTCTGCTGTTTCTGGCCCTGCAGGCCACACGTGCCACACGCAGCTGCAGCTGTGCACGGCTCGATCGGGCTTTGTGTTAGTACAAATGTTTTCAGCACAGCCCCTGTTTCTGAATCTTCATGAGATATATACAGAAAGAAGCATTTTACAAGCTGAGCAGAATCTTTAAAAAGTACATATAGATGTAAAATCTCTTCGTGTGTGCTGAAGGCACCATGGTTGCTAGGTGAGGAATGTGGGCAGTGTCTGATCAGCCTCCCAAGGCGATGCTATCTATCCCTTCCTGCTGCTTTGGGGGAGGAGGATGGGGGGACGAGGGAGCTAAGAACTTATCGGGGAGGCCTCAGGCAGCCAGCTAGCCGGAGTGCTGAGGCAAGGGGCACAGCTGCCTTGGCCTGTGGGTCTGAGCTGTGTTTAGGTTCTGGTTGCCTTTTTATTTTTTTAAACTAGAGTGTAAGTTGGGAAGGAAAAGAAAAGGGCTCTGGGGTGAGCGCCAGCACCCGGAGCCATGGGCCCAAAGGGAAGTCAAGGCTGCTACTGACTCAGAGGGGAGCGGTGGAAAGAGCCCACCCTGTTCAAGGAACTTCAAACAAAAACAAGTCACAATCTTTCCAAATGACTATCAAAAACGTCCTTTTAATTTTGATCTTTGCAGAAGCATTTCCCCTGATAGTCTTAGGAAAAATAAAGATAAATTAAATGTACAAAGGGGGAAAGGATTTTAGACTCATCTGCTGAAGGAAGACATTTGGCTGTGATACATTTATTCAAAACATCAAAGAACAGTTTTTTTTTTATAATCCAAAGGACAGATTAAGTCATACATATCCCCTCTGAATTTTAAATAGACTGATCTACGAAATTTCCATACACGTGGAATTACAAATATGAAGTTATGTAGACTATCGTAATGTCATTTTAAATGTTGGTATAAAAAATCACTTTGAATTTGAAACTACAAATGAGCATGTGGATTGTTGATATCATTTAGAAATGCCGACTCATTTTTAATTTTGCTTATTTATAAAACACAAAAGGAAACTGAATTCAAAACATTAAACAAAGTTAATTTGGTTGACAAAAAAAGACAAATTTTAAACTCTTCCCTTTGGCCAGTGGATAGGAAATAACATGATATCTGGTCATCAGCAGATCAGACAACTGATATGAGGTACATCACCGTATTCAAAAATATATATATATTCTATATATATATTTACAGACACAGACACACACAAATTGGTCGAGTTCTAGGGGCTGGGGGGTTAAGGTAAAAGAACACATTGAAAGGATTCGCACACAGTTCCGCCCAGGAGCTGGGGACCTCACGGAGCACTGTCCGCTGCCTAGAACTCCTCGTCCTCCTCAGTGAAGTGGTTCTGCTTTTTCCGGACGTTCCAATGCAGACACTCTGCCAGGCTCTCAAACCAGTCACTCACAGGGTCCCGGAAACAGATGGAGGGGAGAGGGTAACAAGAGGTAGTGATGCTGATGCTGAGAGAGAGAGAGAGAGAGAGAGACAGACAGACAGACACACACACACACGCACGCACGCACGCACACACACACACACACAGAAAACAAATGTTTGTTATGCTTCAGAGTCTAAGAAAACCAAGCAGGTAACTATTCCTGGCACACGCTGCCTTAGTGCCAGACTCAAGCTGGCACCTGCAGGCAGGCCAGGCCAGGACACAGGGTCAGCTGCCCAATGGGGCATCGCAGCTGTTCTCAGAACCCTCGAGCCAGTGTGGCCCAGTGTCTGCAGTCCAATGGCCTGCCTGACCCTCAATCCTGCCACTGCCTCTATGGTCTGTGGTTCCCCACTCAGAACCTGAGTTTCCTTCTCTACCCAAACGAGAGGGTGAGACTCAGGGAGTTGAGGCACTTGCTCCTGGGGGACGGGCAAGGCTAGAGATGCAGAGATGGCCGAGAGCCAGCCCTGTCCTCATGGAATTCATGGGCTAGGAGTCCCTTTAGAAGAAAGCAGCTCCCTATGCCCTTCTGCTTCCTGGGCAGCAACATTAGTTCACACCTAATTTATAATGAGTGAACAGAAACCAGGGGCGCCCAGCTGCACAGATGGGCAGCAGTGATGCTGCATGTGCACAGGCTCTCTGGAGGCCGCTGACCTGCAGCGGAGGAAGAAGGCGTGGCCCAGGGACAGGTGGGAAAATGCTTTCAGGTCCCTTCAATCCAAAACCACCAAAGAGTTCATCTGGCCAGCCCTGACCCCAACTCAAAGCGTGGTGGCCTCCAGACACCCACATGCAAGGATGGGGACTGGACAGGACGCCTGGGTGGGGATGCCCCTTCCTCCAGGCTCTCAGGGAAGTGCCAATGGTCTTGAAGCAAAATACTCACCTGTCTCCATGGCAGATTTCTTGTCTCTTCCGCCCGTCAAATGAAACCCATGCTGTGTTCCTAGCTTCTGGTGACAGTGTGATCTGGAAAAACACCGAGGAAAATCCTGGGAAGCTGGCTCTGAACATTTATTCTGGTAACAAGGGACGGCACAGGGCAAGGCCACAGAGAGGATGTGGCAAGGGTGAGAAAGGCCCTGAGCACCCCTTGAGGGCCTGGGCCTGATTTCAGACAGAGAAAAGTCGCTGACAATTATGGTGTGAGAGGGCGGCACTTCTGATGGAAGCAGAAGTGGTTAGATGATCCTGCCCCTGGCCCTGTGCTGGAGGGAGGAAGCCACGCCAGGACTGGAAAAGAAGGGGCATGTCGACATGGCACCAGGAAGGGTTCGGTAACTGAACATGGGAGAGGAGGGGAAGTTCCGTGAACATGAGGTCATGGGGCTAGGTCAGAGGCCAGAGCATGTGGCCATGATGTCTGGGGCATCCCAAAAGGACCACAGGGTAGAAGCAGTGGCAAGCGGCCGGAATGGGGCATGCGATAGGGCACCCAGGTTCTGTGGGCAGAGGCAATGGGGTAGGCCCCTAGGGAAGTGAAGGAGAGAAGGGCAGGTAGGAACACAAGAAGCTCTCAACGTAGCTAAGCTCAGAGGGCCTCGTGGGGGCCGCTGCCAGCTGTGCGTCTGCCCCAGGGACTAACCTTGAGCTCCACGCCGGCAGGCACCACGATGGGCCGGAAGGACAGCGAGTGTGGACAGATGGGCGTGATCATGATGGCGGGCACGTTGGGGTGAATCATGGAGGCGCCTGCAGCAGCAGCGTAGGCCGTGCTCCCCGTGGGCGTGGACACAATCACTCCTGAGGCAAGAAACAAAATGTTTCAAGGAGAGTCAGTGGGGCAATGCCCTGTGGGGGAGGAGGTGCCAAGCAGAGGCTTTACCTCTTCTTCACCTGGAAAGGTCAGAGAGAGAGAGAATGACATGGGACTAAAGAGAACTTTTTAAAAACCAACTGCGGCAGGACTCAGGGTGTGTTCCAGCCTCCCTGGTTTCTGTTATTCCAGGCATGGCATCATGGTCCACACCCTCTAGGCCTTTTATTGAGGGGATTTGTTCTGTGAAGTGTGGATTCAGTCAGTCACAGGACCACACTCACACTGGAGGATCTGGATAGCCACAGGTGGCCTCAGTTGCCCCACCCCTGCCCTAGGCTCAAGCATCTGAGGTCTACACTCCTGCCTTGCTGGGGGGTTTTTGAGGGGGTCACATTTTCCATGAGAAAAATCCTGCATCATTCTAGAGTCAGTCAATTTAATTCCACTAGCATCTGCCAGTCTCTGCTACACAGTGTGGCACAGGCCCTAGTGGATGGAGGGCCAAGTCTGGAGTGAGGAAGACACGGGTTCCAATCCTCCTTTGATTCAATTCTCTAGGAATAACCCACATAAAGGAAAGGCTGCCCCTGGCCCACGGAGGGCCATTCGCCCTGCTGTGTGGACACCGTCCAGACACAGATCATGAGGGGCCCCTCCCCCGAGGCAGAGATTTGGGGCCTTCGGGGCTCACAGGACTCACCATCTCCCTGGACCGTAGTTATCAGGTGTCCATCTAGATAAACATCAACATTAGAGAGGTATGAGGAGGGACCCCGATCGATCACCACTTCATTTAGAACCTGACAGATAAAGACGACGTGTGACCCCAAGAGCGACCCCGACCGGGAGGCCCCTGTACAGGGGCCACTGTATCAGCATCACAAAGAGTCACCAGGCATCGTGGATCTGAGGGAGGACAAAACCTCCCTGGAGGGGAGGTCAGCTTTGTAGGGAGGAAGTCACAACCTTCTCACAAGCACAGCTCTGAGGCACGGAGTTCTATGCTAGAGACAAGCATCGCTATGACCCAGAGCCCGCCTGGGCCTTGGAGATCAGACTCCGGTTTATTAGGATGCTCACTCCAGGACGGTCCCGTCCAAGCTGGGGACGGAGCCATGGCACTCCGGTGGCCTGAGTGGACTCCCCAGGGGCAGGGGCGTTCCCGTTCTACCCTCCCTCCCACTGGAGTCCTCAGACTTCCAAGAGCCCACAAAGCAGCTGCTCACGGAGGGAAGGCCAGACGCCGCCTGGACAGACCTGGTAGTGCATCATCTGCCGGCCACTCTCCTTCTCCAAGCCGGGAGGCAGCACTCCGTTCTCGTCGATGCCGTTTGGGATCAGGGCTTTCTTTTCCCGGAGCTCCTTGACCACCTTTACCTTCAGCCTGCTTCGGAGAACGATGGCGGCATTTCCTGGGCCAGAGAGGACACGAGCCATCAGCAAGAGGAGTGAGCGGGAGGAGTCCCTTACAAACGAGGGCCCTAAGGGGTGCTCTGGGTGCGAGGAGACAGCCTTCCTCTGGAGAAGAGGCAGGAAAGCCCGCTGCCCTCTCCCCTCCCCAGCGCAAACCCCGAAGGAAGCCGGGAACGCCGCCTGGCCTTACTGACCAGCTCACCTTCTATCACCTGGGTGACTTGGGACTGAAAGTTTTCAAAGTTGAACGGGGTGAGAAAGCCGAGGGATCCCAGGTGGAAGGCCATCACCGGAGGCACACTCCCCTGTCGGTAAATAGGAAGAAGGGTTGTTTGTGTAAATGGGCAGGAGCTTCTCATCGACTCCAGAACACAGTGAAACCCTAAAGGGGTTTCCAGCATGCCAGAACCCATGGGAGGTCACGGAGCTACAATCAAGGCTAAGACACCAATTCATCCCAGGGCCTCCAATAGTGAGGCTCCAGGGCAACAGGGCCAGGTTCCCTCTGGCTGCTCCCACTCATCCATCCTCATTCTCACAGCTGGAGAACACCTTCCAGCAGGCGTCATCTCAGCCGCATCTCCAGCAATCCTCTCTTCTTCCAGGACTGACAGACGCTGTCACCTGTGAGCACATTCAGTTCTTACTGTCTAGGGACTCCTTCCTTTCTGCTTCCATGTTGGCATGAAGGAGAAAGAGGGCCAGGTCTGAATCCTCTTTAACCCCTCACCAGCTGGGTGATGTTGCACAAGGAAGCCCCAAGTTTCTCTGGGCTCCGGCTTCTCCATCTGAGGGGGGTCAGACCAGACCACAAAGCTCTCTGCCTCTTTGCTCGCTCCTTCCCTCTCTCACACCCGACATTCCTCTTTCCTTTCAGTTCCAGACTCTTCCAAATCCCTCTACCCGACCTATCACTCTATCATTCTTCATCCCCACAGCAGAGCTCTTCCCAACTCTCTTCCCGATCACTCCCTTGAGTTCTCTCTGAAGCCCCCTCTCCTTTCAGAACCCATGCCCACTTCTCTCCTTCTCCTTGGCCTCTAAATGGGGGCAGCCCCTGAAGCTCAGGCCTCAGCCCTCTGCTCTTCTCTCCTGAATTCAGATTGTCAGCAACCTCATGTACTATGTATGAGGAGGCCTGCCCAGCCCACCGCCCTCCTCAGGCCCATGTCTCTGCCCAGCATTTTCTTACCCGGGCACATCTGTCCGGTGGCCACCTGAGCACCTCTGCCCCAAAGGCTTCCTTACTGCCTCCAGGGGAGCCGTCATCCCCTCAGACGGACTAAAACCTCCACGTCATCTCAGCCTTGTTCTTAATCCTTGCCCCCTACATTTGGCCCTTCACAGAATCTTCTTTCCCAGAGTTATTTAAAGCCATCCCTCCGTTTCCATCCTTACTGTCTCTTCCTCAGATCAGGCCCTGACCACCACATACTGGCGTTCCTGCAGCGCCCTCTGAACTGGTTTCTGGTCTTCCAGGATTTTCTCCCTCTAACTCCATGTGGATAACACTGAGCCTGAAACTGTCCCGTTCCAAACTCTTCATGTGTCTCCTCCACATTCCCTCGCCTGGCATTTGAAGCACCCCACCGCATCTCCATTACCTCATGCCCCAGAGACACTCTCTGCTACAGGCAGGACAGCAGCCCCCCGCTTCCCCTGGTCACCCAACAATGTGTGCCGCCATGCCTCTGCTCCTCCCAATGCTATTCTAACGGACACCCAAAACACTGGCATGGAGTAACTGTTCATTAAAGATTAATATTTCTAAACTTGTTTTGCCTATAAAACTGAAATATCAACCAAATTTTCCAAGATGTAGAGTATAAAACTATGAGACGGCAAAAAACGAAGAGATTCCGGAGACCTTAAGAAGCATCTCCACGAAGCACACATAATGTTCCCTCCTGTGCCTCCCCAAGTTTACCTGGAAAAGGGAAGAAGCGTAAAGCAAGGTCCCGTCTCCTCCCAGGCAGATGATGAAGTCTATCTGATCTGAGATGTCGTCGTAATCTGGGAAGCACCAAGAGAGACACGCTTAGGAAGACCAGCTTTCTGGCTCAGATCACAGGACGCGCAATTGCGAGCGCGTCGTGGGAAGCGCGGCACCGGGGGCCTCCAACATCACCTCAGCCCGGCCCTCAGAGGGGACAGCACTGCCCAGGACTGTCGAGGCCACCCACCAAAGGCCAAGCTGGCTTCTGGCCCCAAACCCAAACTTCTCCCCATCACGCCGCATGGCCTGAGCTACTGCCCATCACGCTCTCTGACAGGGACAACCATGGAAAATCAATGAAACCCTTACAATTTTGCAGGATTACCTTCCCTGAAGGTGCAGAATTTCTTCTTCACGGTTCCAAAATGTTCATCGTTCACTATGGCAGGGTCTTCTAAAACTTTTTTTTCCACATAAACAATCATGTTGTTTTCCTAAAAGCCACACACACAAGCACACAAATCATTTCAGAAACATACCAACGCCCTATCAATCAGGCTCATTATGGAGGTACTTGATTTTACAGGGCTCAACAACACTAAAACCAGAGGGAAAAAATTCCATTCATCAATACCTTGTTGTTCAGAAATAAATAAATCACTGCTACTGAAACACGTGTTTCTCTCTGCTCATGACTCTAGGAAGTCTCAGTGTGGAATGGGACGCTGGGGGGAAGTTCATAAAGATGTCTACCTGACCCTTACACTTCACATTTATATAACAGAGATGAACATGAAATTTCTATTTTTAGCTCACGGAGTGATAAAACTGCTTTGGAAACTCCAACCTTTATACATACTAATAAGCCTTTATGACAGCCACAAGTATGATTTCTCCTTTGGCTCTTCTCTTCCCAAGCAGGTTGGGATTGTCATTTACTCTGATCCCGACCAGCAGACATACCTCCATAAGATACACACAGAGGGCTTTAAAAGGCTGCAGGAGACTGGCATCTCGTATCTTTTTTATTACAAGGACACTCTTTGGAGATTTGTTCCATGTCAACCGCTGGCTTGCTGGATCCTGAATGTGCCTGCATGGGAAAAATAAATCAAACAGTTGATGTGCGGGAAGACAAAGCTTGAAAAAGGACAAATTGACTAAACAAGCAGGAGAAGGAATAGTCTGTCATTTGGACTCATTGCTACCATGGCAATTTTAACCAAGACCTCACCTACACCATGCCATCTGGGCACACAATGCCTGTACCTGCTTTTTAAATGTCCCTAGTTACAGGGTTAACAGTTAAGACGATAACCTTCTTTAAAATGTTCCCCACACCTCGGATAGCTAGCTTTTGTCCTTACCTCCTGTCCTTGGCCTACAACTCTCTTAGAACTCAGCTCAAAAATCTATCCCCCTCCCTGCCCAACCCCTGAAGTCTTCCCTGATTTAACCAAGAAAAAGCTGGCCAGCATCCACAGCCCACTGTCTAAACCAATAAAACTGACTTTCACTTTCCTGGACACGTTCATGGGAGCTCTCATCTACAGACAGAGTCTGCTGGAGACCAAGAGAACTCATTGATGATTTTCTCAGTCTGTGGCTGTGCTAATGCTCGAGTCCAAGATCTATACTCCCCTATTAAATGGTAGACTCTCAGAGGGCTGGGACTTGTCCTCACGTGCACAATGAGGGGACTAGACTGGATGCTCCCCTCAATCCCTTTGAGCTCTGAATCACCAGAGGACCCAGCGCACACAGCAGGTGGTCCTGTCTTGTCCACTGAATGAAAGCTCAATGGCTGGAACTGCTGCACAGAGAAAGGACATGTTCCCAACCCTGATCTGTTCCCATGAGCTCTGCGGCCCAAACTTAACAGCCAGCTTCTTTTAATTTCACCTCGGTGTGTCCAGCTCATATTCTCATCACCTTGTCAGATCTTTGAGGATAAGACCACAGCTACCAGTGCTACACAAACAGCGCACCCCTTGGCCTCCCAATTACTGCTGGCTAAAGATGACCAAGATGATTTAAACTATGGACTTCCACCTCCTGTTTCTCCACGGCTAGTAATAAGCAGTAAAAACTGAAATTCAGGGTGCAGTGGCTAGAGCACCAGCCCTGGAGTCAAGAGGACCTGAGTTCAAATTCAGCCTCAGACAATTGACACTTACTAGCTGTGTGACCCTGGGCAAGTCACTTAACCCCACTGCCTAGCAAAACAAACAAACAAAAATCCTCAAATTTATTTTCTTTCCTCAGAGGGCAAGCAGTAGGAGGGAAGAGGCATGAATAACCACCACAGAAAAGAAAACCAACTCAAAGTCAATTTCTGTGGAACAACAGAGGGGGACAGAGTGAGCAAGTTCCCTGGTGACTAATTTCCCTAGTTAACTGAAGCATCATAAGTACAGGAGCATAACAACAACCACAGCGATGATGACGAAAAGTGCCTAAGAAACACCAAGAAAGATCCCATTGGCTTTAGTATTAGTACGGGACAACTCTAAGTACGAGGGGACACCCTGTTCCGCCTTGGAGGAAGCCCAATTCAGACTCCTCCGACTGTCTCATTAAAGACAAAACTCTGATTTATCAACCTGACAACAGTAATTCTGGCTGTTCTGGCAACACTGAAGGAGGGCTCGGATTACATAAGACTGATGGTTTCCACAGATTTGCCTGACGTCATAACTCAATCAATATAAATCAGATCTCACACCATGTAACCATCAGGATGCCAATGTGTACATTTGTCAAAAGATGGGAGAGGTTATGTAAGCTCGCCGCCCCTCCAACTTTGTATCTACACTTAGTGCTATTATGCTACAGAAAAGTCTATCATTGCTGTGTCCCTGCAGGTACAATGTACCTACAATGTCTGCTCCTACGGCAGAAGGGAAGGTCACTCCCAACTTCAACTTCCATCAGTCTTCAGGCCCGAGGACAGGGGGCCTCTGGGCACTCACAAGTGAGAAAAAGCTCCTACTCTTATCCTCATTAGTCCCAGCAAAACCTGCAAGCTGACAAAGGACACACTTATCGGCAAACGCCCGTGCAGTCCGATGTAACAGCCCCTCTATGTGGTGAAGGCATGCGACCAGGGCCTCGCAGAGACTCTCACCTCTAAGTTTCCCTTCCTCAACTCCCTTCAACTCTGTTTAAAAACACAAAACACACTGCACAAAATGTTTGATAAATGTTATCTGAATCAAGACTGCACCAAGTGAGAGCTGAGACCCACTCTGACGCTTTTCAGAAATAACTGATCTTCCAAACTCACCGATGAAGAGGGGGAAGAGGACGGGAAGGAGAGTTCTTACCTTTGCTATCAATGTTTACCCACATGCCTAGAGCGCCCATTCTTTTAGCAGTACTCACCATTTCCAGGTATTTTTGTTAAATGAGAGGTCATTCATCACATTCTTTATGATCTTCATGGCTTTCTTCCAAAATCACAAATAATTCTTGAAATGTTTCTTGTTTATTTTCAACTAGGCTGCTGCCATTGTCAGAAGAATTGTGCTTCTCTTGGCAGGCTAAGAAAGGTTTACAACAAGCTAACAAAACTGAAAACACCCAAACTCTCCCAGCTATGCACTGAACTGTTCACTTAACTTCCAAATACCAAAATTTTAGTTCCAAAGCACAATGCTAAGTCATCTTTTGGAGATTTTTAAAACAGTAAGCCAAAAAAGTCACTTAAAAACTACCTAAAGCCACTGTCCCTCATGTTATGTCACTCATAATATAATCCTTTCTCTTAATGACCCAACCCAAAGAAAGTCTTCCAGATCGCTTCTAATCGGCACCATGGGTAAAATCATGGGATTTTTAGCTCTTAACTAAGCTAGCCATCAGAGACAAATCTACTCCTGTTTCTTATTAGCCTACCAACACCACCAAAAAAGCCAAAGCAAACCCTGTCAGCGCTAGCAAACCTTATCTTAGTCTCTGAACAACCACCTAGAGCTGCTCTCCTTCCCAAGTAGGAGAGGGAAGGCGTCTGCCGGCTCTTCTGCTCACTCGGCCTCAGCAGCACTGAGCGTCCTGCCCTGCCCTGCCCACCTTCTACACACTCAGCCAAGTGCGAAAGCCAGTGGATTCTCTCACAGATCGAGCTCAGCCCCATGGGAGGGGTTCTTACCACAATCAGGCGGAGTCTGACGGGAGCACAGCCCTCCTCTTAGCCAACAAGCTCAAAACAGTTTGTAAGCAAGGCTGAAGTGATTTAAGGGAGAATTCCTCAGGACTGATTTCCTTAGAAAATCAACAAAGAATTCCTCATTACACTAGTATTTACGTGTTTAAATTGTCAGGATATTTTAGACAGCTAATTATTAAGGTATTAAGAAGCAATGTAACGAAATGAGAAAAGCAAAACTAGATTTGTTTTATTGCGCTGGAAGTGAAAAGTTGTCCCCACTGCAGGGGCCTGTGGGCATAGCAGTAACACACCTGGGCAAGTGTGGCTGTTCAGGGCTCTCACACACACTTTATTAGCAATGTCTCCAGGCAAATGACACAGGCCTGCAGTGGGAAGTACAGGAAGCCCAAAGCTGACAGACAGATCGGGGACATTTGCATGGGAAGGGCAGGGAAGAGGCCCAGCCACCCTTTCCAAGAGGCCCTAGGACGGCAAACGTGCCAAGCGGCACCTTATTCCACAGAAACCTGTGACAGGGTCTTGTTCAGAGGCTGCAAAGAGCCCCGAGCCAGGCTGGGCATGATCACTTCAGACTACAAGGGACCTCAAAGCCCACATTCTTCAGTCCCTCAAGATCATTGTTTCTAATGTACCTTCACCACTCGGTCTTTTTGACCAAATGCAGGAATGGGTAGGTCTTTTCTAACAATCTTTCACATCCAAGTTCTTGTGTGTTTACAGAGAAGCTATCTTCTATCTCGTGGGGATAATCTTTAGATCAGCTAGGCACAGTGTATCAGCAGCCAAACCCAACGAGCGAGCTGAAATCAATCGGAAAGTTTATTCAACTAATATGAGTTGACCACTTGCCAGGTGAAAGCTTCTGTTCCAGGTATTGCTCAACACGCATGGTTAAGAAGGGTAAAGGCCATTTTCACAGGAGGAGACAGGGAAGAAGGGTTAGTTAAAAATTAATCATGGAGATCATAAAAGTACCAATGTCAATTAGTCTCCTTACATTTAACGGAATGAAATGAAAAGAGTTGTTGTTCGGTCACGGCTGACTTTTCATGATCCCATCTGGGATTTTCTTGGCAGAGATACTGAAGTGGTTTGCCATTTCTTTTTCATTTTGCAGATGAGGAAACTGAGGCTAACAGGGTGAAGTGACTTGTCCAAGGTCACCCAGCTAATGAATGTCTGAGGCTGGATTTGAACTCAGGTCCTCCTGACTCCATGACCAGCACTCTATCCACTGAGTCACCCAGCTGCCCTTGAAAGAGCAATTTTGATTTGGACATGTCAGGAAACATCACAATTTCTCATACACTGTTACACTCTCCTCAGTTCTCTGATAATGTCCTTTAAATGAGGAAGTACTCCCAGTCTTCTCGGAAAGTTACAAAAGCAACAACAATGTTACAGAATATCTTCAAAGATGAGGAGGAAGGAGTCTTAAAAAAGAACTATTAATAAATAACTTTTAAAAAAAATTTTGTGTATGCAGTGAATATGGGAACATGCACATGAAATCCAACATTTATTTCCTACCCTGCCTCAATTCGTTTTTCCTGAAACCTAAGAAATTGAATTATGGAGACTTAGGGATTGTCAAGCCACCTTAATACCCATGAAGAGGTTGCACGTGGTCTCTGGAGTGTGTCTACCTCCCATAAGGGTTGCTACTGACTGTTATCACTTTAATCCTCACTAAGAACACCTGTTTTTCTCTCCTACTAATTAATACATGTCCATTTAAAGCCACTCTACACACTAGACCAAAGATCAAAATCTAGTTCACTTGCTTCTAAACAAATGTCCCAAAGGGAAGACACTGGAATCAGTCTTCTAGGTGACATGACAGTGGTTAAACCATGTCAGATACCCTCCCGATGGGCACTACAGATAGCTTACATTAGATTGCGTGCCATCTTGGGGAGAAAGGTGGGGAGAGAGGGGGAGAAAAATTTAAAACTCAAAAGCCTATGGAAGTGATTGTTGATAATTCTAAATAAATTAATTTAAAAAAGAAACACACACACCTGATTTAAGCTGTTTCAAAGTCTCTCTAAGTGTCTTTGGTTATAGAGAGAACCCACTGACCACCAATTGATTGATAATTGGCTAGCCTAATTAATAAAATGATTACTAATTACCTGTAAAAAAAGAAAAACCCAGATACAGGGTAGCCCCCCCCCCATCGATGCCTCATGAGATGCCTCAATCACCAATCTCCGCACAACTCAAACATCTATCTCTGCTCCCCATTCGTCCTTCCAGGGCTATTTCCCACTCCCTCTGGCTCTCTCTCAGCAGGGTTTGGGAACAGGGCTGACCAGCCTCCTTCCTGAGCTCTCCATGGTCCACCTTCCCCTTGTGTGACCGTTCCTTCGCCATCTCTAGATTCCTTCTTCTCCTCCTGAACCTGACTGGGGGGAGGGAGGGGTGGGGGGTGCTATCCCACAAAGCCTTGGACTCTTCTCACCTCTATACCCTAAGACTTCAATGATCAGCTGGATGCAAATGACTCCCAAATCCACAACTCAAGGCCCACATTTCTAAATGCCTACTGGACACCATCCTATGGATGGCAGATCCCCACCTGATCGCATCATCTTTCCTCTAAAACCCACCGGACTGTCCTTACTTCCTCTGCTAATGGTACCACAAGTCTTCTCGCCAGTCAGGCCAAACCCGTGGACTCCTCCTTGCCAGATCCGTCTTTCTCATCTTCTATGTTCAATCAGTAGGCAAGTTCTGTCAAAGCTGTCACCACCACGTCTCTGGTGTATACTCCCCCCTCTTCTTTTCCACTGTCACCACCTCCTTCAGTCCAGAACAGCTCACCTGGAATACCTTAACGGACTCTTGTCTCTAGGTCCCTTTCGTCTTGACAGTCTTGCCAAAATATAGGTCTGATCCCCTCACTCCCTTTCTCAAAACCTCATTATCTTTCACAACCAGTATCTCTGATAAGGGCCTCATTTCTAAAATATATGGAGAACTGAGTCAAATTTATAAGAATACAAGTCATTCCCCAATTGACAAATGGTCAAAGGCTATGAACAGGCAGTTTTCAGAGGAATAAATTAAAGCTATCTATAGTCACATGAAAAAATGCTCAGAAATGCAAATCAAAACAACTCTGAGGTACCACATCACACCTATCAGATTGACTAATGTGACAAAACAGGACAAAGATAAATGTTGGAGAAGGTGTGGGAAAATTGGAACAGTAATGCATTGTTGGTGGAATTGTGAACTGATCCAACCACTCTGGAGAGCAATTTGGAGCTATGCCCAAAGGGCTATAAAACTGTGCAAACCCTTTGACACAGCAATAGCCCTTCTAGGTCTGCAACCTAAAGAGATCCTAAAAACGAGGAAAGGACCAACAGATGTACAAAAATATTTATAGCAGCTCTTTTTGTGGTGGCAAAGAATTGGAAATTGAGGGGATGCCCATCAATTGGGGAATGGCTGAACAAGTTGTGGTATATGAATGCAGTGGAATACTACTGTGCTGTAAGAAATGATGAGCAGGAGGACTTCAGAAAAACCTAGAAAGACCTGTATGGACCGATGCTGAGTGAAGTGAGCAGAACCAGGAGAACGCTGTACACAGTAAATGCCACACTGAGCAATGACTGACTTTGGTAGACTTGACTCTTCTCAGCAATGCAAGGATCTAAGACAACTCCAAAGGACTAATGATGGAAAATCCTATCCACCTCCAGAGAAAGAACTGTGGAGTCTGAGCGCAGATGGAAGCAGACTTCTTGCTCTCCTTTTCCTTTGTTGTTTTGTTTTATTGCTTCATTCTCGCAGCTCCTCCCACTAGTTCTGATCGTTCTTTACATCATGACTAATGGGAAAATACGCTTACTATGAATGTACATGTAGAGCCTATACCAGACTGAACGCCGTCTTGGGCGGGGGGGGGGAGAAAATTCAAAACTCAATCTTACGGAAGTGAATGTTGAAAACTAAAAGTAAATAAGTAGATAATTTATTTAAAAAACAAACAAACAAACAAACCAAAAAAACAAACCTCATTATCTACCAGATAAAATAAGAATTCCTCAGTTTAGCACTCAGGGCCTTCAATGGTCTGATTCTAACCCTACTTTCTCTGGCTCCAGGCAAACTGGACTATTCTCCCATCAGGCTGAATAAGCTAGCCTCCACATGCCTACTATGATCTCCCCTCGCTCCTCTGTCACCACTTATAGGAATCTGAAGCCTCACTGGATTCCTGCCCTCCCTCCCCAGCTAGAACAGATTTCTCTCAGAAGTCCATCTGATGAGACCTTCGCATTTCATCTTCTAACCTGTCTTTTAAGTTACCTGTGAACATCTCAATTCCCTAACAGGCTATAATTTCTTTAAGGACAGAGACTGAGTTACTTTGCCTATTTTCGTACCTAACACATAGCCTTTTGCACACTGGTGACTTTTATTGAATACATATTAAATTTTCAACATGAAAAAGCTAAACCCTAAATTTTTGTCAAACAAAAAGGAAGTCAACTTACATGATGGTCTTGGGGTTCTGCAGCATACAAGCCTTTGGTCCAAAAGTGGTCACTGGGCACGGCCCATGCAAAGAACGGGTCCTCCTTTTGGGGGAAAGGGGAGGAGAAAAGACAACATTTCTGATTACTACCTTAACATAAAAATTTGAAGAAATAGCTGTTTGGGGAAAAAAAGAACAAATTATACTAACTTTAAAAAGATGCAAAAATAGACTAAAATCCCCACACTCTGAAGAGATCCATCCCACTGCAATGCCTGCAGAAAACAAAATATTTATAGCAGCATTTTTTGTAGTAGTAAAGAACTGGAAACTAAGTAGCTGCATTTCCAACGGGTAATTTCTCAGCGAACTGTGGTACGTGAAAAGTAATGGGGTATTACTGAGCTAGAAGAATAGAAAGCATGGAAA